TGCTCTCTGTCTCTCTCATTCTCTCTGTTTCAAATAAATAAATAAAATCTTAAAAAAAAAAAAAGAATGCACTAGATGGGGGCACCTGGGGGGCTCAGTCGGTTGAGCATCCGACTCTTCATTTTGGCTGAGGTCAGGATCTCAGGGTCATGGGATTGAGTCCCCGAGTTGGGCTCTGCGCTCAGCAGGGAGTCTGTTTGAGATTCTCTCTCCCTCTGCTCCTCCCCTCGCTCGTGCTCACGTGCTCTCTCTCTAATCTTTTTTAAAAAGTGCACTAAATGCCACTGAATTGTTCACTTTCTTATTTAAATTTTTTAAAAAGATTTTATGTATTTATTTGAGAGAGGACGCCTGAGAGAGCACAAGCCAGGGAAGGGGCAGGCAGAGGGACAAGCAGACTTCCCGCCGAGCAGGGAGCCCGATGTGGGACTCGATCCCAGGACCCTGAGATTATGACCTGAGCCGAAGGCAGACGCTTAACCCACTGAGCCAACCAGATGCCGCGTCACCAACATAAAAGAACTAGGGGCAAAATTGGAGGCCAAACTGTCAGCTTTATGAATGGCCAGCCAGGCAGCCAGCCAAATACCCGCATTCAGGTGGGGGCAGCTCAGGCTTAGATCTGAGGCTAAGCTGGGACTCCTCCAGGATCCAGGACGGGAGAGTCACCTGGGCTTGGGGGCTGCTGTGCCCACTTCCCCAAACTGCAGGGACTCCACCCCAGCGTGTGGGCGGGGTCGGCTGGGCCCCGGGTCATCCTGCCCGCCTGGGGGACATAGGAGCTGGACTGAGCAGGGGGGCTCAGCAGTGAGCGTCCCACAGGTGCTTTCTAACAGCAGAGAGGCTCCTGTTTAACTCAGGCACAATCATTCCCCAGAGAAAGGGGTGTTGAAAATTCGTTTTCCACTCAGTGATAAAAAGAGATAGGCTATCAAGCCATAGAAGACCCGCGGAGGGAACTTAAATGAGTTTTAGGGAGTGAGGGAAGCAGTCTGGCAAGGCTGCATTTGTAGGGTTCCAACTCTCGGACGTTGGCGAAAAGGCACAATGACGGGACCAAAAAAGATCCCCCAAAAGATCCGTGGCTGCCAGGGTTTTGTGGGCAAGGAAGAACAGGTGGAGCCCAGGGGTTTCAGGGCAGTGAAAACACTGTGTGCTAATGTGGTGGCATTTGTCCAACCCACAGAACATCCAGCACCAGGAGTGTGCCCTAAGGAAGCTGTGGACTCCCAGTTGTAATAATGTATCAATATCAGCTGACCAATTGTAACGAGCCGACTGCGCCCACACAAAGTTAGTAATAGGGAAACAGGCAGGGGAAGCGGGGCTATATGGGAACTCTCTGTACTTGCTGCACAATTTTTCTGGAAACCTAAAACTGCTCTAGAAAATAATGTCTATTAATTTAAAAAAATCTATCTTGCAAGGGAGACTGGGGCGGGGGAAAGAAGCAGGTGACCACGCGGGCGCTGTGGGGGCAGGGATGGCCATCTGGGGCACTGACAAGCTGCGAGCCCAATGGTGAGCACCGGGCATCTGCTACTGCTGTTGTCACTGCTGTCCGTGTCCTTGCCCTGGAGGACCAAGAGCTTTTTTCTGTTCCCTAAGGTCAGTGTGCACCCCGTGGCATCACACCCGTGGAGGTGGCCCCCACTCGGGCTCTCTGGGGCTCCCAGCTCCTTTCCTGCAGGTGCCTGCTCCCACAAGTCTTGTCTGGGATCCTGGAAGGGCGGATGCCTGGGAACACAGCCTTCTCCCCAGGCACTGGGGCCCCCAGTTTGGCTGACTCTGGCGCCCGGGGCCCCAGTACCAAATCCAGGCCAGACGGCAGCGCGGTGGGGGTGGGGTGGGGGCAGAGCGAAGCGTCTCCGCTGGGAGGGGTGTGGGCAGCGTGAGAGTGCCTGTCCTGGCATCCCCTCTTCACCTCCCTAATGCACAAGTCCCCCCACGTGCCAGCACCCACTGCACCCCAGAGGCTCCCTCGGTGCCCCAGGGCAGGAGTGACCTTCCTCCTCTGGACGCTTCTCACCTGCAAAGCCGCCTCACTGGGCTCCAGCCCCGGTATCCGAGCGCCTTCCCAGCTTCAATTTTATGTCAGTAAGATCTTCAAACCCAAACCAAAGTTCTCACTGTGAAAACCCGTGACCGAGTCTCCAGCGTGGAAGCATCAGCCCCGAGTGCTCCAGGACCCCGCGGTCCGCGGGCCCGGCCGGGGGACCCCCTGCACTCGGTTGGCTCCTGCTGGTTGTGTGTGAGCCTCTGCCTTGCACCTCCCTCCCCGGGGGGCACAGGTGGCATCTCCCAGGACTCGAGACCCCCGGCTCGCCACAGTCCCGAGTCGCGGAAAGCCAGGCGGAAGCGCCGGCCCAGGGCAGGACGCGCCACTCTGCGCTCAGCGTTTTGTTTTACTTCGGAAAATATACCCATTTTTCATAAAAAGTTGTTATTTATGTTAACATGGGACGGGGATCCTATTTTTAAATAGGTTTATGCATAAATAGGTAAAACTTCTCTCAGAGTTAGTGCCCACGCTGGGGAAGTCATTAGCTAGAACCCACACCAACATCAGCTTTGGGCACCTTAGCAAGTTTTTGAGTTTGCAAAGGAGTTTTCAGACCAAAGGTTTGAGAACTTGGATCAAAGTCCTCGAGAGCAGGCGGCCCCCGTGGGTGGGGTGGGACCCCAGCCACAGCTCCGGGCTGGCTCTGTGACCCTGGGAGGCACTTGCCCTCTCTGAGCCGGTGCCTCGTTTTACCCTCCTGTCCACGTGGCTCACGACAGACACAGACCTCCTTAGCTCCCTCCCTCTCCCTTTCCTCTGGCTCCCCCGGCCATCGGACCCATCGGGTCTGCAATATTCCAGGAACCTTGAAGGTTCGCAGGAGGAAGGGGAGGGTGTTCCGAGCAGGAAGCTGGGTCTGCCGCGAGGGCGGTAAAGGGCGCCCGGCTTTGCAGAGGCTGGGAGAGGCGTGCGAGGACCACGCCGAGTGCCGGGGCGGCTGCTGCGTCTTCTGCACGCCCAGGACCATCTTCCTCAAATGTCTGCCCTGGCCGAAGGTGCGTCCGGGCAGGGTGGCCGGCCGGGTGGGC